AACCTCCCACACTGTTGGGCTTATAGGCATCCATAACCATATCCATGAACACATGGTAGTCTTTGACATTTTTAGTACACACTGTTTGTCTTCAACATGCTGGATTTTTTTTGGTGTTTGCTTCTGATAAGATTTGGATGTGTGTCCTTACAGAAGTACACAAGAGGCATCCTGTCCTTCTTGGTGTCCTACTAGACTTCTCATGCAATGTTGATGTCACTCCTCGGTCCAGGGCTGTCTTGTCTCTGGGATATAAGGTAGGCTCTGTGGGTGCCCACTCCCCTTCAAGTGCCCGACGTCAGCCCCTCTGAAGCTCTTATGTGTACCTTCTCACAGAGAAAGCTGTAGGGAATGATCTCCAAAGCATCCTTCTCTACCAGCCAGTGTCTATACTCTCATTCATTCCTGTTTCTTATTGTATTGTATTTATTTATTTAAATTATATTTATCTATTTATTATTGCCATGAGCTCATGTGTTCTTATTTTTAAAATAGCTTATAATTATTTTCTCTTTTTAATTATCCTGGTGCTCTGATTATCCCAGATTTGGCCAGTGGTAATCTGTTGAGCCGTCTCCTGTGTCCTCTGGGTGTGACCTGTCATCTTCTCAAAACCTCTCAGTAACCCACATGTTCCAGGCACAGCCAGTGTCTCCCAGCCCTGTGGAGACCAGAGCTAGTACCCAGCATCTGGGCAGACAGAGCAGAGAATATGTGAAAAGCTGTGCTGCTCACTCACTGTACACACACGGACATACATGTCCAGCACACATGCCTGTGCATACACACATGTGTTCACAGGCACAGTCTTACTTTAGAAGTCTTGGGTTTAGACTGATCCCTTCCCACTCAGTGCCTGCTGCCCCCACCACCCCGTTACTGGATAGGATCTGAAGTGAGAGGATCAGCTCTCCCTGAAGCTGAAATAGAAACCTCGCACACATTTTTTGTAGAATAAGTTTGCAAGGTTACTGACTTCCATGGAAGAAAAACAGTTTTTAAGGACTAGCCAGGAAGAGGTGTAAGAAGCGTTTTTATTAGAGAAAAATTAAAAGGTTCACACTCAGAAAGAGTACAGGCCCTCAAAGGAGAGAGGGGTGCATTATGTGCCAGAACTGGAGGTATTTATGAGGTCTTGGAGGTGTGATGGGTGATCTAGGCTATGTGACCCTACTGGCTGTCAGGTTACTAGTCTGCTATGCTGTATCAGAATGCAAGCTGATTGTGTGTCTGAAATTGAGAGCTGCTGCTTCCTTGAGGATGCAGAAAGCACATTTACAGGTGAAAAACACAGGACCATAGCAGTTTTCAGAACCTGCTATGACTAATACTTTCAGGAATTTCTCCCAGGGAAGAGAAAAGTACCTGAATAATTTATGTGTCCTGAAGCCATGGGTGGGGTGAGGGTTTGTTTGTTTGTTTGTTTGATTTTTAAGTGTAAGGAATGCCAAAGAGGCTGAGACTACCTGGCTTGTGTAAAGGCAACATAGTATGGAATTTATTGTGCCTGGGTGCTGGCAGAAAGCAAAAAGGCCAAGTATAGGGGACCAAGAGAAGTGGGCCTTTTGGAGGGATTGAAAGAAGGCAAGAGACATTAGGAAGATTTTAATAAACATCAGTGGTCAAAGTCCTCTGGCTGTCTTGCACCTCAGTGGGCAGAGTCCTTGAGGCATCAGGTGTAAAAATTTTTGGATGTCTCCAGATAGCCGGGACCTGCAAGATCCCTTGTCCTATCTTATCTCCTGTATGACATCCTGTGTTTGCTGATGACAGCCTCAGTGCTGAGCTGAGTCCTCTCTAAGAACAGTGTCTCTGCTGGCAAACAGGTTGGGGGCTGGGAGAGTCAGGTCCAATTTGAGCCTTACATTAAATACAGTTTTAAAATCCGTATTTCTATCCTGCTTTACACCCTGCCTATGCTGGCCACCTTCAGCCCTGAGCACCCTAAAGTTGCACCCTCTTACAGAAGGCAGCTTCCTGAAGGGCACCTGCCAGTGAAGCTTGGAGTTCAGAGTTAGGGGACATGGTCTGAAGAGTTGAAGCAGAGAGCATTGGAGCTATACTCAGTGCTACCCGAGTGATTTCCATGTGCTTATGAGTTACTACTCTCCAGCAATCCTAGGGCTTAAACAGTTTAGGTTAAGGGGGAGAGTTGTGTTACCAGGAAACAACAAAGCAATTAAAACGCCTTGATTTTATCTTGTGGTGTTCCTGCCAAAAATAATTACGTTAGCTTCAGCTCCCAGACAAATGCTTGCAGAAGGCTGGGCAGGCTGTGCCCGTAGCCCTGTGGGGCCTGCAGCCTCCCTCAGCTCTGCCTGTCTACCAGGCACAGCTCTGGGACCTCTAGCACCTCCGCCCAAAGAGATTCCAGAAGGCCCCGCCTTGGGCCCAACCCAGAGGGTCCCATTCTGTGAGTGGGGCCTTTGCTTGCGCCTGACTCTCTAGCCAGCTACCCACTGGCCTTGGAGCAGCTCTACCCTCACTTTCACAGGCCAGCAGCACTTCTCTGTTAGTAGGGCTGCATTCCAACCCCATGTGGCCTGAAACCCCACCACCACCACCCACAAGCCTGCTTAAGGACAACCTAGTGGTCAAAAGTCTCAGGGTGGGCCAGCATGGGAGAGACAGTGGCATTTGTGGCGTGGGGAGGAGTGGCCTTGGGGGTGGAATGCGCCTTGGGGGTGGAATGTGCCAGTAGGCTCCTTCTGAGGTCCTGAGGACTAGAAGAAACAGTGGCCCTAGGGGCTAATTTGCTGCAAAAGAATGTGTCCCCGTTTTGAATCTCTAGTTGGGCCCAAGCAGAGCAATCCTTCAGTCCTTCAGGGAAGAGCTCCACTTTGCCTTCCCTGTAGTGCTTTGTGATGCAGCTTAGAAAAGAGAAGGCAGTGACCTTGGCTGACCTTTTTGTGCCCAATGCTCTCTATTTTGTTATTCCCAAATGGGTGCTTTTGCCATGTATTGTGGGTGCTAGGTTTTGGACTTACCACTAAGGCTTTGGACAGTCACAGCCTTGGTTTATTCTAAGTGATACACATAGTATCTACTTTGAAGGATGTGGAAAGGACCACACACTAAACAGCTCCTTGTCTTACTCTTTGTCTGCCCCCCTTCACCTCCCCGGCAGAGCTAAAATTTAAAGGTCACAAGCCAGGTATGATGGCACCCTCCTGTAATCCCAGCATGCCCTCTGTAGGCTGAGACAGGAGGATCGTTGTGAGTTTAAGAGCAACCTGGGCTACAAAAGTGAGCTCAAGGCCAGCCCAAACTGCATAGCAAGACCCTGTTTCCAAAAAAAAAAATCAGGTCTCCAATGTCTGCATGCCTGGAATATCTGTGTGACCCACTTTTCAAACAGGGCTGGGCACAGATGGTGATAGATATTTTTTCATGTGTTCGGATGCTTGTGAAGTGGGGCCAACCCTGCTGTCTGCCTGTGTTTGAGCTGCCGGGCTTCCCGTCACCAGCACTTAGGTCACAAAGGGAACTCTGATCAAGTGTTATTCCTGTCAGAACCTTACTCTGTCAAGTTTACAGCCACAGTCTGGGCACTACTGTTGCGTCCCTGGGCACCCTGGAGAAACACCACGTGGTCCAGTCATGTCACAGTACACATGTCATCGTACCCTGAGGCTTCTGACCACTAGGTTGTCCTTAAGCATGTCATAGTACACAGTACAGAGCTGGGGTAAAGGTATCTTAGGGGTTGGCCCCTGCACAGTGCACAATGAGGTTTCCACCCTTGCAGATTTGATTCGCAGCACAGCTCAGGCAACGGGAGGGGCTCTTCAGTGTCCATATGGCAGCTGTTGCCACCCTGGGTGTTCTGCAGGTCAGTACCACATGTGCTGGTCTTCCACCTATGCTGGGCTTATTGATCTGTGGGGATCATCCTGAAGGAGTCTTCATGTGTCCCTCCTGGGCGCAGCTTAAGAAATGCACAGTACTGGAGGTCACTGCTTGGGGTCACAGTTGAAGACCATACTATCTCAGAGATTTGCACTGACAGTGATTAGGGCCGAGAACCCAGACATCTCCCAACTGTCAGATTCAGATCTGCCCCACCCACCAGCGCACAGCCTTGCACCCACAAGAACCTTGGAGCAAGAGAGGAAGAATGAGGCTCTAGCTTACTGTAGTTTGGTCTAGGAGCCACCTGCTCTTTCCAAATTTTGTTTTGTTTTGAGGCAGGGTCTCATTATGTAGTTTTGGCTGGTTTTAAACTCATCATGTAGCCTAGGCTGGCCTTAAACTTGCAGTAATCCTCATGGCTCAGCCTTCCAAGTGTGAGATTACAGGTACGTACCTCCCACCAGCCTTTAGATGTTTTCTTTAAATAAACTTACCTTTTCCCTTAAAGTTATTCATAAATAAACTTCTTATCAAAAATAAAAATCAGTGTGATAACTTTAAGTAGAAAATGACATGAAAACAGTTAAAACCAATTTGGTCACGTCTTTGTCACTTACATGTCACCTGTGTTCTCCTTTGAGACATCCTGCCTCAGCTCCTGCATGTATGTCTAGAGACCTGAGTTCCTTGACCAGAGCAGGTCAGGGCCCTCTGGGCGTGGCAGAGAGTTATCTGGGATAGAGCAGGTCAGGGCCCTCTTGCTTACAGCAGGAGCTGCAGGAGTTGTGGGGGGACACCTGGGCAGGGCTGAGCCCTGTCTCTGCATTTGTAGTAAAATGCATTTGGTGCCCAAGGACACAGCACCCAATGACAGCCTGCAGCCTATGAGACCTCCTGGAAGCACCAGGTACTGCCCAGCTGGCCAGCTTTAGATATTGCCCTCAGCAAGTTCTTTGGGTGACCCGTGAACTTTGTGAGGCTACAAGCATATTTTCCTTTGTGAGAAAGGAGTCCTTCTGATCCTGTGGCTCTATCTGAGGGCCCCTCCCCTCGGCCCTCTTCTCACCCCCACCTAGGCAGCTGCTTATACCTTTAGAAGACTCTGCACATGACTTCATTTTGTTGATAAACACTACACATTACTAGCATTTTTCTTTTCTTTACATTTTAATGAGAACTGTTTATGTCATCATCATCATCGTTATTATTGTCCCCAGTGTTACGATTGTAGTGGCAAATTCTTCAACTGTACATGCAGAGTATTTCATATTGGCTCCCAGTCTCATCCCATACTCTGGGAACTGCAGACTGTTGTAAACAATATAGCAACAAAGTGGGCATCTCCAGGCAGGTGGGCAGATGGGCAGGCACTCTGCTAAAGGAGGGCCTTCTCAGCTCAGCACCCAGGGTTACCTGGCTGACATTCGAGGGCTGGCTAGGGGCAGTGCTGCAGCACGCAAAGAGATAAGAATGCTCAGGGTGTGTGCAAAAGGAGCACTTCTTTCTATTCCTCTTCAGCTTAGGATATGCAGGTTACTACATGTGTAATGAATTACATTCATATGTACGGGAAACATCCAGTGTAGATCACTAGGTGGGTTCTATCTCCAGACTTTGTTTTCCCCCAGAGCCACTGATAATGTTGCAGGTTTCCCTTTTACCCAAGTGCTCTCACTGGGATCACCCTCTTCATTTTGGCTGTTGTTGGTCAAGAGCAGAATCATTTTCCACTGGGGAAACAGTATGTGCAGAGACAGCCGAGCTACAAGCCATTCCCGTGCCCTTTGAGGCCAGAGCCATGCAACCTGCAGTCACGAGTGCTTGGTCCCTTGCAAGTCTATGAGCAGGACAAGGCCAGGGAGGACCTGAGCAAGCTGTGTCCAGCAGGTGTGACTCACCACAGCACCAAGATATGGGAGTGCGCCACAACCATGCCTGCTGCCCACCTTGCCAAAGCACATGCTATTTCCAGCAAGGCTTCTCACACAGCACTGCTGAACTTTGTGTCTGACTGCTCAGTACTGTCTGGGATGACTGCCTTCAAGGCTGCATGGCAGAAACGGTTCAAGGCCGGCAGATTTGTCTTCTCCTTAACATACAGCCTCAGCTTGTCCCTGAAGGTTTCCCCAAGGAAACTGTAGATGAGGGGGTTCAGGCAGCTGTTGGAGAAAGCTGCAAGGTTAACGATGTGGCCGGTCAGGGGGTAGGCATGGCGGAAGGACTGTTTGCAGGGAGCATCGCCTGGTTGTGTCCGCTGTAGGAGGTGAACACTGATGAAGACATTCTCTGGCAGCCAGCAGATGAAGAAGACCAGGACCACAGCGAAGATCATTCGGAGGGCCTTCTGCCTCCGGGGGTGTAGGCCTCGGTGCCTGTGAGCCTTGATGAGCACCCGGACGATGAGGGAGTAGCAGAGCCCAATGATGGCAAAAGGCACAATGAACCCCAAGGTGACCTCCAGCCACTGCACTTCCTTGACGTCTGCAAAGCAGAAGCAGGCCTCCTCAGTGTGCTGCAAGTGGACAGCCGTGAAGGGCACTAGGGTGGCTGAGACAGCGGCCATCCAAATGAGGCCGCAGCTGAGCCTGGCACGGTGCTTTGTGCGGAAGAGGCTAGAGCGCATGGCCTTGGCCAGCGCAATATACCTATCAAAGCTCATCCAGGTGAGGAAGAAGACACTACTGTACATGTTGATCTGCAGGAAGAGAGACATGAAAGTACAGAGCACAGCAATGTCATAATACTGCTCATCCAGGTTGAATACCTCAATCAGGGAGTCAGCCACCAGGATGAGGTCTGCCGCGGCCAGATTGATGAAGTATAGGTCTGGGATCGTCATCTTTTCACGGAAGCTGATATTCACCACCAGTATCAGAATGTTCCCCACAAAGCCGATGGGGAAAAGGAAGATGGTATAGAGGCAGGAGAGGAAGAGGCCAATGACATACTGCTGGTGCTCGGAGAGGTCACCTGTCTGGTTCACCACGGCGGTGCCAAGCAACAGCTGGGACAGGTTGAGTTCTGGGGAGGTACTGTTGGTGGTTGCCAGCTGCACGGTGCCTGGGTAGATCTCCACATCAAGGATGTGGGCTGGGGAGGTCACATCCATGTCTTTACCAGCCCACGTTCAGGATTTGCCAAAAGGGTCACAGAAATTGGTTTCAAACAACAGTTCCATCTTTAGAGAGGAAGGTAATTCTCTTTTAACAGCCAGGCATTTATATAGCAGGAAATGCTGTTATGGGGAGCTCTGTGATGGTTTGGTTTTGTCAGCTGCAGAAGCTGAAAGAGTGGGTATAGTTGGTCTGCAGCAGCATCTTTGGGATGCAGCAGCTGTTTCCTCACTGTGTGGGCACCTGGGAGAGCAACAGGAAAGGATTAAGGCTTGCAGCCTCCCTGGTGGACCCCCTGAGCACTAAGGGAAGGCAGTGCTCTTGGCTTTATTATCTTGGGAGATGGTGTCCCTGGGCTGAAGCAGAAGAAATGAATGTGGAAAATCTGCTTTCTTGGCTCAGAGCTACAGGAGTTGCCTGGCTAAGTTGGAGACAGCTATGACTCATCCCCTGAAGCACTGGGTGACAGTTAGATAGCAGGCATGCTGAGTAGCGTGGCCACTGGGCATGGGAACCTTAGGAAAACTACTGTTTGTCAGCACAGGAAGTAAAATTTATTTCAGCCACTGTGGGGAAGTGAAATAGCATGGGAAGGGAAAAACCCAGCTTTTCTGGAAGGCAATAGATTCAGAAAACCTGGTAGAATCAGCAGTCTCGAATAAAATAGGCAAAGTAAATCTAGCTTTTTCTGTGAGACTAGTACTAAGCTTAGGTGCTGAAGTAAAACTTTTTCATAACACGGAATGAAAGACAGAGAATAAGGAATAAGAATGGTCAGGAAATAGTGTTAGCTTGGCGTAATGGTGCATGCCTGTAATCCCACGTGCTCAGGGACAGAGGCAGAAGGATCGCTTGAGTATAGAAAACAAGGCCAGCCTGGGCAACACAGAGAGACCTCATCTCAAAACAGAAGGGAGGGATGGAGGGCAGAAAGAAAGTTAAACATTTTTAACTTACAATGTTTTAACAAACTACTGAAATTTGTAATATGTTTTAAGCGGGGACTGTTAGCTACCTAGCTACTTGAGAGAATGAGGTAGGAGGATCACAACTTTGAGGCCAATCTGGGTAACACAGTGAGATCCCGCCTCAAATAAACCCCCAAAACAACAACAACAAAACCTTAAAACATTTTTGTAATACTGTTTTAACCTAGAAACTGAGTAGAGGAAACCTCCTTCAGTTGTTTGCAGTGGAGAGAGGGTATGAGAATGGATGTGGAGCTACTTGTCACCTGCCACACTTGCTGCAACCCGGAGTTCTCTGTGGCATGGCCAGAGTTCTTAATAGCATGTTGGCAGTCTCCGGAGGCACTGAGTCAGAAAAGCTGAGGTGGGTGCTGGCATCTAGTAGGTAAGGCTGGGTTGCTACACAGGATGACCCCTCCCAGCAAGAGATCGCTGGCCTGGGGGTCTCATTTTACCCTATGAGATCATTAGGAATCTTTTGTAAGTGGTACAAGGGCAGGCTAGTAATTTATTGACCTCTCAAAAATACTGCCTAAAAAAAAAAAAAAAAACAGGAAAGAAAAAAGAGAGAAGCCCAGCTGTTCTGAAAGTGTTCCATTACGGAGGAACTGGGCAGGTAGGCTTGATTGTATTGGCTACTTTGTGGTTTTTGTCTTCCAATTCGAGCAGTGTAAGTGTCACTATTCTCAGGGTCTGTCTGCAAGGTTCAAGGCCACTGTTTTTAGTATCTGTTTTTAAACTACTTAGCCTTCTGATTTGCTCTTTCAATGTGGGAACCCTGGAGCATCTCAGGCAAATAGTACAAGGATGGTTGCAGGTGAGCAGACCCTCAGCCATAAATTTACAGGTAAAGAAGGACACCAAATAGTTTGGTATAATTTCATCTCTTCTCCCACTTGTCCTGACCTAGGAAATGGAGGCCATTCTTCCGTTGAGTGTACCGGCCCATGTCTTTCTAAAGCACTTTGGGTTGGCAGGAGTACTGCACCACAGTACAAGGCAGAGCCTCAAGTGAGACACATTCTGGCTTGAACAGAGCCGGCAGAGTGCTGGACTGGATAAAAGACACAGCTTCTGCTGCAGCCACCCTAGGTTCCCGTTTGGAGGGTAGGAGCTCCTGAGCTGCTCTCCCTAGGGGACATCCTGCCATTTCAGCCTCAGAGCTGCAGCTGTGGATAAACCCCAGAACCCAGGGTGGGGGCAAGGCTTACCTGGGTCACAGGCAGGGCCTCCCTGAGCCATCTGGAATCTGGAGAGACCCTTCTCATGTTCCCCTCCCTCAGCAGGTTGCTGGAGATACACTTGGAATTTGTCTGCAACAATGAAATCCTGGATTTGGGACCCTGTCAACAAGGCTGAGCATGAGAGCAGCAGGAGACACAGAAGAAAGCCCCGCCTGGGGAGGCTGGTGGGAAGGTTCCCCAGGAAGCCTGTGGCCATTAGAGGCGCAGTCTGGCCCCCTTGGAGCACTGGGCTGGCTTTATAGGCTCCCAGGGCCCTGCTCATTGGGCCTGGCCGCCTCCTTTTAAGGCCAGCATTAACCATTTTTTTGCTGGCCTCTTTTCTCCCATACTTTGGCAATGAGCTCAGTGCCAGTAGATACATGGAAGTTTTCAGTGTAGTTGCTTTTCCTCTTTACTTTTTTTAAATTTGAAAGAATTATAATAGATATTATTTATATGTTAGATAATAGTCTAGCATTGTTTGTTCAGACAAGCAGTACTTTTCCTGTTTGCTTTAGCACCTTACTGACTTTAAAACTACACATTGAATTTCTTAAGTTAACGTAGTAGCATAAGTAATACATAGAGAATTAAAATTATGACTTTCACAAAGATATTTGCAGAAAATAACTTATACCCAAGAAACAGCAGATATTTTGGCAAGAAATTCATATTCCAAGTTGCTTTGCTGGTACATTACTCTTGCTTCCCTTCTGCTCCAGAGGCCATCTGATGGTACCCGTCTTCCAGGTGCTGGTGGGGCCCTCAGTCCCACTGTAGCCACTTCCCTAGGTGCTGCCAACCCTGACTTCTGCAGGCTTGAGGCTGGCTTCCATCACCAGGCATCCCATCTACTGCTTGTTGGGTGTTTACCCTCCACTTTGCTTTTTTGTTTGGAATTCTTTGAGACAGAGTCTCAGCGTTTAGTTTCGATTGGTCTTGAACTCATTGTGTAGCCTTGGCTGGCCTTGAACTTTCAGTGAGCCTCTTGTCAGCCTCCTGAGGACTGGGATTAAAGGTGTGTGTATGTCTGGCTACCTTCTGCTTTGGAAAGAGGTTGGCATGGTCACCTTGGGGCAGAAACAAGTTTCAGATTTGAGTATTACAGTTCTTGAGGTTTCCCATTACCTTAGACCTGAGCAGCCCAGCTGAATTATTTGGTCTTCATAAAAATTAAATTTTAATTGATCTCCTTGTACTTTCCTCCTGGTGCTTCTGTTTATTTATCTTTATTTTGTTTTGTTGGGTTTTGGGGTTGGGTTTTTGTTTTTTGTTTTTGAGGAGGTACTGGGGATTTTACCCAAGAGCTGCTTTCCCAGCACTTTTTAAAAATTTTCAGACAGAATTTTATTAAGTCACCTTAACTGGGCTCAAACTTCTAATCCTCCTGCCTCAACCTCCCAGAGTGCTGGGATTACAGGCATGCACCACAACACATGGCTTCTTTCACCTTTTGATGTTTTGGAGTGTTTTGGTTTGGTTTGGTTTGGTTTGGTTTGGTTTGGTACCAGAGATCGAACTCATGACCTTGCACTTGCCAGGCAGGTGCTTATGTCGCTGAGCTAAAGCTGTGGCCCTTACCTTTTGATGTTTTAAAACTGTGAGTTTGGACAGAGTCATCTTATATGTGCTAAACACAAACACTGTAGATTGCTACAACCCAAGGATAGGTGAAAGCAGCATGCACTCCTACAAAAGACCACCAGAAGCTTAGAGAAGCAGATGTCTATATCCAGAATGCAGGTAATCACCTGGTTGCTTGCTACTCTGAGTTTTCTCTTTGTAGTGAACAAATGTGTTTCAAAGCATTCTGTATGATGCTGATTTGAAATCTTTCAGAATTGTTTTGGAACTAACATAAATATTTTTAAACAAGGTATAGCATTATATTTTTTAAGGAAAAATACTATAGTTTGGGGTACTTCCAGCTATAGAAATTCTGACTCTATCTACGTTAGTTTTTTTTATTTGAGTAGCATGGTGAAGAACAGTTTGGCCCTAGATATCTTTTGACCAGCTGCAAAGCCAAGAGGATTTCAACATTAAAAATGCTCATGACACCATTGTGAAAGAAATAAGTCATGAGAAAGTACAGCTTCCTCTTGAATTAAATAAATAAAATAAAAACTCAAGCCTTGAAATAGCCAAAGCATGTCACTTAAAAATAGCCACTCCCTGCTCTCACACACCCACTGCCTAGGGCCTCACTGCCTGTAGGAAAGGTGAGAGACTGCAGGCCCCTGAAGGCCTGAGTCTGCTGCTTCTTGACCATATCCTTGCTAGTGGGTTTGCACAGGTTAGTCTAGTGGCAGATGCTCTAACTTTGAGCTCCTGATGCAGGACAGGCCACTGCACTTGAAGCACCAAATAGTTCTACTGGAGAATTAGGTGGTTAAGCAACTTGTCAGATCACACAGCTGCTTAGTGAAGGGATGGGACTGAGTCGTAGGGACTTCAGTCCTGTGGCCTCTAGAGTCTTGGGGAGGTTTCTGGAAAGCCTTAAGACCCTCTTTCACTTTTAAGCCTAGCATCTGATAAGGGCCTCCTCATTCTGCCCTGCTTCGGGAATCCTTCAGAGATGTGGTTGGCTCTGAGCCACTGTTCCATGTACTGGTGAGGGACTGAGCCCCCAGAGACACAGCGTGAGCAGCTGCCACCAGGGGAGCCTGGGATCAGGCCATGTGGCGTCCATCTTCCTAAGAGCCTTGGCTGCCACACTACATTGTGGTCATGTCCTAATGCTGCTCCACTGTAGGATGTCCTTATGGATTTTCAGAGAGGGTAACATACATTTCTGTCCAAACCAGGATGGGGTAAATGGAAGTGGAAAGAACTGAGAGTCCAGTCAAATTAGCTTGCATTTTATTAGGTTTACAAGTAGCCTGATACTGCCTAACACATGGATAACAAACATCAGTAAGATAAAGTGGCCCGTAAGCCCTGGCAAGAGGCATCCCCAACCCCTTTCCTCATGGCTCATGCATGCAGCCATTTTCCGGGGCAGCCCCTTGTTCCACCAGCTACTGCACATCTCCTCCCCCTTTGCTCCCTCTGTATTTCTCACCTGCCTGTTCTTTTCAGTGGCATGGAAACTGTCGCCACACCTTGTGACCCAGGGTCTCCCTCCCTCCTGAGGCAACCTGATACCCTGAGGCACAATATTATGGTCCAAGCAGGCCCACTGCTTACCATAGCCAGAGTCTGCCTGTCCAGTTCTTCTGTCCACATTTGACAGTGTGATGGCCATTCACCTGAGCTGTCTGAGCCTCCCTGTAACATGGGGTGTTTGGGCTGTGGTAATGAAACTGGGTGGCTCCGTAAGATGCCTTTTGACAGTGTTGGTCCCCTGCTTTATTTGTGGAGGCTTCCCTTCTACCACTCTGCCACCACCTCTCAAGAGGCAGTGACCCTATTGAGAGCCCAGCCTCAGTGACATTTGCCCAGATAAATCCAAGTGACCTCAGCTTTTCTTTTCTTTTGGCACTAACAAGGGAGGTGGCCTGTTGGTTAGAGGTGCTTGTGGGGTCGCTTGTGCACTATAACTTCCTCCTCAAGCCACATCAGTGAGAAAGTTTAATCTATGTTGGAAGGGCCAGGGATTTAACTCAGTGGCATAAGTGCCTGCCTGGCAAGTGTAAGATCGCAAGTTTGATCCCCGGTATCAAAAAAAAATAATCTGTGTTGGAAACTGCATGAGGCTTGGACGAATCCTCCTCTGTGTGTTTCTGCTCTCACAAAGGCAGACCCCCTCTGTTCTCACAAAGGCAGAACACTTATATATTTTCTCTGATGATTCAAAGTTAGGGGGAACAAGGGGCTCAGAGGCTGTTCCTATTGCCTCCCACCTCACTATGAGTCTCACAGAGCACTTTCAAACAAATTGTCCTCAAGACAACCCAAACTGTTAACCAGTGCAAGCACCATTCACGCCCCTTCTTTATAAAAAAAGAGACCAGGGTAGAGAGAGAACTGCACAGGTCACCCAGCAGCAAGTGGCCGGCTGGGGTTTTGCCCTCCTGAGTCTTTGCCCCCAGAGAGTCCTCCCCTGCACCATCTTCCGTTCTAGCTTCGGACATTTGTCTCCCTAGATGCCAGCCTGTCCTTCACCTTGGGACGTGTGTCTGTTGAGCTGGCAGCCAGCCCCTTAAGTGAGATGAGCATCTTCATGCAGCAGGACCCCAGATATCACATGGGGTGTGTGCAGCACAGATGCTATCCCCACTGTCAAAGCTGTTTCCTGGAGAAGGTCAAGCTCGGCAATCTGATTGTGCTGTGTTTTCTGGCATGAGAAGGAATTTATAGTGCTCAGGTTGTCACAGCCTCCGCCCTGCAGCACCAGCAGGAAGCAGTCCTGGTGGCTTCATAGGTGTTGACTTTCTGGATAGCTGGCTCCTTTCTGTGGTTGCTGGGAGCGTCCTGGTCACTTCCTCTTAATTCTTTGAGAGCGATGGCAACCAGAACTCGTTGCATGTAGCTTACAGAAGTGTGGACAAATGATGCCTTTTGCACCCTGCTTGGAAAGTGTTTTGGGGTGGTATGCTCCAGAAGGAGGGGCTTATGATCTGTGTCCTTGTCCCAGCTCCAGCTTCAGTAACCACCAAAGTGTGTTCCTTTGGGAAACCAGATAGGCTTCAATAATTTGCTTCACTCCCAATCAGTTCTGATTTTCTCCTTTGAAATTAAGATTTTATCCACCCTTGCTTTGAATGAGAGTGTCTGCTCACTGCTAAAAACATACTTTGAGATGGTTTCTTAGTTTACAGCTGGCTCTAGGACTTTCTCTGACTCCTTGTCTCTACTGTGTCCAGACCTTTGTGACATGAATGGTGAGTGACCAGGTGTAGAGAGCCAGAGTCCAAGCAGCACCAGCCCCATCTCTGTGGGGCTTGCCTGAAACTTTGTGACTTGGGTCCCCACAGAGGGGTCTTTGGTAGGATCTGGGGTTCCTGTGGAGAAGCCAGTGGTAATGTGTGAGGTTCCTATAGAGAGGCCCTCAGTGGGGTCTGGAAATCCTACAGAGGGACCTTTAGTGGGTTCTGTGGTCTCTTGCTGCTCCTGTCCCACCCCAAATCAGAGCAGAGGCTTTTTTAATGTTTCATGTTGGGCCCCTGTATAACTTTTTAAAAGACAGGATCCTACTGTTTGAGAACTGCCAATGGACATTTTTGCGGTTAGGTTTCTAAAATTAGTCCTTTGACCGAATTGCTCAGGAACTCAGT